AGTGGGTGGGGAGGTAGGGGGAGTCTAAGGGTGAGGGGGAAGCCCTGTCCCTGGAAGGGGTTGTGCCGTCCCATCCTCACACAGCCCTGCTGCTGGGGAGGCGGCCTCATCGGGGGTGGCTCCTGGGGTGTTTGAGGTGGGGAGAAGAGGGGGACAGGCACTGCCCAAAGGCTCAGGCACGCCTTCTCTCATTCTCTGTTTTGTGTGTTGGGTTGTCTCCTTCTGCAGGTGGAGAGGTCCATTAACTCCATCCTGCTGCACAGGGTCATCTGCCTGGGAGACCTGGACCCCACCATCACAGGATTTGCTGCCCTTCTGGGGTTCTGCCTGAGGTTCCCCAACTGTGGCGGAGCAATCAATGGAACACATATCCCGATCTGCACACCAAGTCATTGTGTCGCCCAGTACATGAACCAGAAGGGCTACTTCTCTGTGGTGCCGCAGGCCCTGGTCGATCGCCGTGGAATGTTCATGGACATTTTTGTCAGATGGTAGGGCAGGGTGCATGACACCCGTGTATTTAGGAAATCAAGCCTGTACAAAAAGCTAGAGGCAGGCACATTCTTCCCCCCAGTGTGAATTTCACATTGGGGATGAGCACATACCATTGTGCATTGTGGGGGACGTGGCCTATTCCCTCATACTGTGGCTTATGAAATCATGTACCAGCCACCTGGACCCCAGCAGGGACCAATTCAACGCCCACCTCTGCTGGGTGAGGATGCAGGTGGAATGCACCTTCAGGTGCCTCCTGACCCACCTTGACATGGGGGAGCACAACATCCCCGAGGTGGTGTCAGCGTCTTGTGTCCTCCACAACTTCGTGGAGAGGAAGGGGAAGGCGTTCCTATTGGGGTGGGGGGCAGAAGTCAGCTGCGAAGAGAAGGCCTTCGGGCAACCTTGGACAACTGCCATCCACCAGGTCCATCAGGCCAGGATGCATGTCCAGGAGGCCCTGAGGGAGAGTTTCTCTCTAGGACTCCATTAACTCTCCCCAGGGCCTCCCCACTAGGGGCCTGTGCCTTGCTCCACTATCCCTTTCCCACCTCAACCGCCCCCTTCACCCCTTCCCTGACCTCTGAATAAACACACCTGTTCTGATTGCAACACAACGAACTTTGTATTTTTCTTTCAATAAAATCAACTGGGGAGGAAGGGGGCTGAGAACCTGCAGAGGGGATGAAAGAGGGGGGCTCAGGGCTGGGAGTGGCATGGGGGGTGGCTGGAAGTGCCACCTTAGGTCCAGGGACCTTGGCAAAACTGGGGTTGGTTGTGGCCTGGGACAACAGGGAGGTGGGCAGGAGGAGGGGCTGGACGGGGTCAGGGATGGCAGGGAGGCAGGGGCAGGGGGCAGAGGCATAGCAAGGGGAGGGGGCATAGGCATAGCAAGGGGAGGGGGCATAGGCATAGCAAGGGGAGGGGGCATAGGCATAGCAAGGGGAGGGGGCATAGGCATAGCAAGGGGAGAGGGCATAGGCATCGCTTGAGGGGGAAGGGGAAGGGACACAGCGGGGGGGGGGCAGGAGGGTGGGAGGAAGGAGCAGGGACAGCGGCCGGGTATGTCATCATCTGATGCGTGATGGCACACATGTTGTTGCCCTGCTGCAAAAGCTGGTCCCAGGGACAGTTCTGCCACTCAGCGTCCTCCTGGACCTTCTGTGCCAGGATCTGCTGCATGTCGCGCAGGACGCACACATGCTGCCGCAAGAGGTCCTCATGGACCCTCGCGAGATTTTGGGTCCTCTGGGGTCGGCCGGCTGCCTCGGCTGGCAGTGCTGCAATGTCCACGTATTACTGTCACTGTGCTAGTGCCAGCCCTGCCCACCTGAGTCTGCATACCCAGGCTGAGTGGCTCCTTCACAGTGACAGCACAAACCTACTAACCTTAGAGACTGACAAGAGCGCTACAGGCAGTCTGGAGAGAATAGAGTGTATAGTTTAAGCAGTAAAGGCTTGTGCACTGAGATCCTGCTGTCTCAGTGTCAGTCCTTGTTGCTGATAATTCATTCAGAGGCATTTGCTCTGTCTGTGTTTCTTGTATATTCTCAGGCTATGTCTACACTACATTCTTCTTGCACAAGAAGCCTTATGTGCAAGAGTTTTTGTGCAAAAATATCTTGTGCAAGAGCACATCAATAGCTCAAAGCATATCGCAAAAGCCATGTGGTTTTGTGCATAAGAGTGTCCATACTGTGAATGGCCATCAGAGCACTTGTGCTTTTTCACATAGGGGTTTCTTGCGCAAGAACTCTTGCGCAACAGGGAGTTATGCCTCGTAAAAGGAGGTTTACTTATGGTGGAAAAAGCGCTCTGTTCTGCCATTTTACTCTTGATTTCCTTGAGCAAAAGTGCATTTGAGGTGGAAATTAAAAAAACGCTGTTTTTGTGCAAAAACCTTGCAGTGAAGACATAGCCTCAGAAAACATATTGTGATACTATTCATGTCCATCCTTAATATACTTCCTGATTTGATTATTGGCCATAAAAGGACTTTGGCAGTACTCTGATGTCACTGTTTCACTTTTGTAAAAGGCTGGGGCTAAGCACCTCCTTGATCCATTACTGCATATAGTAACCGTAGCGTCTGCACTGCTGGAGGTCAAACCTTGTTCCCCAGCTCCTTCTGCTAAACTTGGTAGGTGCCTTCTGGTAAATGAGGTCAGGTCTACATTTACCCCAAGATCTAGAGATCAATATTCCAGGGTTTGATTTAGTGGGTCTAGTAAGGACCAGTTAAATCAATTACTGATTGCACCCCTGTTAACTCCCGTACTCCATGAGGTCATGAGGAGTAAGGATAATGGGAGAGTTTCTCCTGTCGACCTCCGCAATGGGGATGCTGCAGAAATTTGACTTAAGGCACATTGACTCCAGCTAAGTGATTCTTGTAGCTGAAGTTGCGTATCTTATGTTGACTTTCTTGCTTAGTGTAGACCTGGCCTGAGGCCATCTCACACAGAAACACAGGAATATGATATATGCAGTGATCACATCTATCCTGGCAGAATATACATGCTTCTAACACCTGCAAGAAATTAAGAAAGATTGAAATAGACCCTAAAATCTGTTGCTCATCATACAGCCTACACAAAAGAACTGAATTCTTTTTACATGAGAACACAGGAATACATCTGCTTGCAATCACCCTTCTCTAGGCAGTCAGGGCCTCCTTCTGAGTAAGCAGAAATGTGATTCTCCACACTTGATCCACAAAATGCTTAGTAGAAGCGTTCAGCAAAGGGGCTGGAATTTGTGAGCAATGGAATAAATGTGCCTTTCATATACTGCTTCTCCACCACTCAGGTGGTCCCAGCATTCGGAACCCTTTCCCTCCACTGCCTGCTCACTTCTTGCCCAACTTTCAGACCTCAAGGAATGCTCAAATAAAGAGAAACTTGTTCTGTGACAGAAAAGGTCATTTCTTCTGTCAGGCATTTGGGAAGGAGCCGGGAAGCGTATTATTTTAAAGGTAAACTGATCAAATACCGGTATGTGTTTTCTGTAGAAATGGGAGGAAATTAAAAAAAAGTCAGGATTCTTTAGGCAGTACCAGGTTAGGTTATTCTAACACTTTAGAACTGCTCTGATAACAACTACAGATACCGTAGGGGAAACAGGTTAGTCTTCAATTATCTGTAGGTTCACAATGTGTAAATATTTTTCTTTGCTCACAGAAATCTAGTTTGTCAGTGTGTGTGTGCGTGTGTGTGCATGTGTGTGTCAGTGTGTGAGTGTGTGAATATCTAAAACTGCTACCACTGACGTACAGTGAGTAATACACTGAAGAATATTAGAAGTGTGGATGGTAGTAACAGAGTTCATTTCTCAATGTATTCTTCATTTTTGGATAACCATCAAGAAAAGGACAACAACATCCTTTATTTATGTGGAAGCTGAGTGTTTTCTCCAAGTGCAGTTTGTAGCAGGGCCCCTACTGGGGTTGAAGTAATGTACTTCTGGGTTTATTATGTTACATCTCAAGGAGGTCTTATATTCTACTACAGACAATGACTGAAAATGTAATTTAAACTGTCTAAAAAGGAACCAGGCTTGTTTTATGTTTAATGAAAGAAAACTTACCTTGATAGCTAAGCTCTTGCTAAGATTCATAAAGGCAAACTGACGGCATTGTTTGTCTACCTCTGTGGATTGCTAGTTAGCTTGAGTTAGTTAAGTTAGTTGAGTGAATTATTTAATTGTTCGGAAAGACTTGTGTCTGTGCCCCTTAAATGTTTGTTCCTGGATTCTGTGGAGACAAAGTGGAAGACTATGAGCACTTTGCTGAGGCAGCTATCCTAGGATATCTGTGCTTATTCTGACAAAACTGTTGTTGTTTTTTGCTGGCATAGCTTACTCCACTAACCCCCAGCAAAATAAATTATACCAACTAAAGTGCAGGTTTGCTCATGTAACCGAGTTTCCATGAGGAGCTTGTGGTAGCACAGCTATATCAGACACCAATTTTACTTCCTCAGACTGTTGGATGGATGCATTCTGGTTTGTGTTTGAAATTGAGAGGCAAAGGTAAAATAGAAGCATGGGATAAATATTCATTTTATTAGTTCAGTGATCAATTGCATGCTGACAGCTACATATAGAGTATAAAGCGCCTCATTTAACTCGTGTGAACAATTTGCTGCAGTAATACAGTGTCATTAAAGTTTTGACACAGGAAAAAATTGTCCTTACCCTTTGTGTAGAACTTGGCCTGTTTTAATGTTTTAAGCACACACCTACTTGGTATTATGTTTTCCTTTGAAATGTCTTTAAAGAAATCACATATTTATTCAGTTTATTAGTGACAGACTTTCAGAAAGTACAGATCATACTGCTTTAGAGAGTACACGGAGAAGCAATATTTTTGGAGATATTGCAAAAAAAAAAAAAAAAGCAGTGAGTGGGCTGCCACATATGATATGAATTTACCGCCAGCTTTTCAAAAGCACTCAGCACACTGGCTGGATACTGAGCTCTTTGAACAATCTTATCAGAAGGGTTTCACTGGGAGCTGCTGGGCATCAAACGGTATGAAAAATCTGAGCTGAAATCCAGGCTCCATAGAGATCAGTGGTAAAAGGTTGATTAACTTCATGGGATCAGAATTTCACCCCGTGCCTCTCTTTGGTTGTCTTGTTAAGAGGCGACCTCTTATCAAAATCTGGCTTTTAGTGCTAGAAAAATCCTTACTCTGCAGAAACAACTCTGCCGCCTCCCTTTTGCTCTTTTTTTAAGTTTGGGGTGTGTAGTAAGAAAGCCTTATATGTCCTTTAGTGTGCATAAAGGGGCCCCAAATGGAAAATAACAACTAAAATTCTTTTTCTTTCTTTCTTTCTTTCTTTCTTTCTTTCTTTCTTTCTTTCTTTCTTTCTTTCTTTCTTTCTTTCTTTCTTTCTTTCTTTCTTTCTTTCTTTCTGCTATGGGATCTCTTACACTTGACATAGTTTAGGGCCTCAGCATGTCTTAATCCAGCACTGGTGTGTGTGAGAAGGACATTAGGATATCCATGTAGAAAATGAAGGTGCAATGTGTATTAATGAGATACTGCTGTAACAGGCCAAGAAGTGGTTCGCCTACAGACACCAACCTTTCATGTCAAAAGGTTTCAGAGACCTTTTGACATGAAATGTGTGAGTCTACCAAGAAATTTCAAATGTTTATCTTTCTACGGAAAGAGGAATGCTTTGTTTTCATGTTCTGTAGTCTTGCCAGCATTAGCAACTGATATTTAAGTAAGTTTTTTGACTATTTGAACTTTTAATTCATTTGAGGGAAATGGTAGATCTTTGTACTACATTCAGTAATAATTGCATATGCACTAATGTGACAGGATTGATTTAATGGAGCCTCCTTTAATGTCTGGTATTTTAGCCCCTGCTGACTTCTCTCGTCTGAAATTTAAATTAATAGCAAAAGTCAAAATCAGAAAAAGTAGCACCAGACAATGTTGGCAGGAAAGCTTTGTATATAGGTCAATTATCTTTCTAAAGTCTCTACTCAACTCCACATAGTTTTATCTGTGTGTTCTTTTCATTCAAACATTTAACAGTTCTGCTATGCTTTTATATTAGAATTCTCCACTTATCATTTCTGGGCAAAGCAGATTTTAGCAAACTTATTTAAAGGCCCATCCAAAAAGATCTAGCTTTGCCTCTTTTTTCCAACACTAGGGAATGGCTAATCTAGCAGCGTGATGTAAAAGGGGAAACATTTCTCCTTGAGAAATACTAAGAAGATTTCTTGCATAGAGGCTGAATGCTAGGGGCACTTTCACACTGTGCTATACATGACTTACTGCCAAAACCTAATGATAGATAGGATAATTACCTAAAGGGGACTGCACTTTGATCTGATATTCATTATTTTTAGTGCACCTATTTCATGGCCCCTCCGAAGAGTTCAACATTCAACTGAACTTCGTATCTTCATGAAAATTCCTGTGGCAATGCAATTTTGGTGTAATTTAGGACCATAGGACTGGAAGGGACCTCCTAGGTCATTAAATCAATCCCCTGCTATTGGAAGCAACCAAGTCATAAATTTTTCAAACTGCATCTTCTAACTAGTAAAATTTCTTTTCTCTACTGTTCTATTATTTGGCATCTTCAGATTTCCTCAGTACCCCGCTGCATAACTTTCAGCCTGGCTCTGTCGGCTAGTCTTCTTGACTAATTCCTAATCTCCTAGTGCTGATATGCAAAGAACTGGTATCTATACTGATTATTTTAAGGCTGTCAGCAGTCTCTGAAAGCACTGTCTGAGGAGAGATGCTGAAACTTGTTGACTGTAAAGTAGTGTACAGTGTGTTAGTACAGGAATCTAGATTTAGGTAATGAGGAGCCCCGGGCAGGTCAGAAAGGGACCCTAGTATCGCCCAGTGACATTCATTATCCACTATATGTTTGAGAGAGTTTGTGTGTCTGTGTGTCCGTCTATCCTTCTGTGAGTCTGTTTGTTCAAGAACTCCTCCTACATGGTAAAAGCTAGGACCACCACATTTGCTATGTAGCTTTCTTTTACCATCACTTAAAAAAGGTCAGGGTTTGGTTGTGCCAGGACAATGGGATGTGTGTGGAATTAGATTGTTTCTCATCAAACAGAAGGGGAGGAGTGTGAGAGCAGGTACAGTTATACTCACGAATTACCATGGGGGTAGTAAGTCCTCAGTTCCAGGAGCACCCGGTAGGCAAGCCACATAGCCCCTGTCATCCCAGGCTGATGCCAGGAAGCAGCCAGTGGTCAGGTTGCATGGTTCTGACTGCCCTGGGCTGGCCTGATCCCCTGCCCTAAACCTCTCTTCCCTTCCAATGAGTTCCCCTACACCTCTGTCCCAGTCTCCAAGGTGGGGGCGGTACCTCTATCTGTGCTCATTCAGACACCCCGAAGCCTCATCACCTGAACGGGCAGGTGATAGTCCCAAACCCCTCCCACCGTGGGTCGGCTACCCACGACCTTATCTACCCGGTAATAAGTCACTCGCAAGCACGGCTAGTCTTTTAGCCCTGGCTTGGATTAATTTCCCCGGAGGCTTACCTCCACAGTGCGAGGGGGGTAGGGAGACCTGGGTGCTCTCTCACTCCAGGTCTCGACCCAGGACCCTAAGAGCAGAGCCACTGATCTTCTGCTCGGTTGGTGGGGATGTACCCCGCAACTCACTAACCCACAGGTTCCACGTCACCCTGGCCTGGGCCGCTTCCTACCCTCTGACCTCCTCCTTCACAAGGGCTTGTCCCGAGGACCATCCCCTTAGAAGCAAGATTCCGTCTGGCATAGCTGGCTCCTTTCCGAATGGCCACGCTCCCTAGGCCAAGAGACCCCCACCTTGGTGGGTCCTCCCCTCGCTCTGGCATCCAGGGGCTCCATCTTGCCCCTGTCAGATGTCCTTGCTGCAGGAGCCATCTTTTAAAGGACACAAGCGCAGTCCTCATGGGCGGCCAGCTAGCGCCGGGTGCTTCTGAGAGGGAACGGAGGTGCTCTACGTCCGGCCTGTGGCGTTGCGGGGTTTGTTCTCAACTTTTTTCTTTCTGAGCCATTCTCCTCCTGGAATCACCACCAATGTGCTATAAAAACTCCATGGTCCACTTGTGTCACAACTGGCTATCTGCCTATAAAAGCTATAAAATTGCAAAGGACCCCCTACACAAGGGGCCCCTATGAACAAGGGAGCCATTTCGGGAGAGTGGGGGGAGGAGGCAGCAGCTGTATGCACCGGGATGCGACTTGCTTTTCTTCCCGTTCCTTTAATTATCAGGGAGCGAGGGGAAAGTATTTGGATTCCGTGAATTACTGGCTCCTTTCACCGGCCAGGAGTGAGAGGCATGCACACAAGCTGTGTAGTTTCCCCTCGCTCCTTATCATAAGGGGAACAGGAAGAAAAGCAAGCAGCAAGCTGGTATACAGGGCTGCTGCTCTCCCTCTGCTTTCCCAAAATGGCACCCTTGCCCATAAAGCTATACTGATCAGACTTTGGCTTCAGCCCCACATGGCAAGGCTTAGATCCCAGCCTTCAGCCCTGTTCAGTGCGGCTTTGGCTTTCTGGCCTCGGCTAGTCTAATGCTGGCCCTGCTTGGCACCCTCCACAAAACCTGCTCATGGCCTCCCCAGGAGACCCCAGAACCCTGGTTGAGAATCACTACCCTAGATGGTTGTTATACTAGTTCGCTGATACCATTTGCTGGGCTGTTTGAATAGAGATGTTGCCTTTGAAAGGTCAATGTGATCTTACATATTTCTGTATGAAATGATTTCAGCATGAAATCCCAACTCTTTTCAAATCAACGGCAAAACGCCCGTAGACTTCCGTGGGGCTAGTGTTTCAGCACAGCTACGTAAACCCCACCAACAGCTCAGGGTTGCCCTATGGGAACTGCAGTCCCACTCGACCTTGGTGTACTTCAAAGAGAATGAGTGCTTTGAGCTCCTGCAATTTTCCTTCTGCTAAAAATAGGCTTCAAGCATTCTATCTTATTGTCTCCAATTTACAAGTGATTACCAACAGCGCATTGTATTACATGTCACACGCTGTCACAGCCTTGACATGAAAATCTGTAGCAATCAGCAAGAAAAGATTTTTTTTAAGTGATCATCCTTGAAAAAGGGTTCCAAACCCTCTTATTACTTGAACAAAAATAATCTTACACCACATTGGGGGCCTCTCTTGCATTATCTTGCAATTATTACCAGGCTTGTGTTATTTTTATGTTACAGTAACTTCCCACGGTGCTTACTTGCATGTTTACTGGCTTCCATATTGCTGAACAACAATCAGGACTCAACTGGAAGACAAAGAGATCAATGCAAGGAAAATATAATTTTCCAAACAATTACCCCAGCTCAGCCAGTGCATATTAGACTTAAAGATACTGCATCTTTAGTAGTAATGTATTATGAGGCAGTGTCATTTTAGGGTGGCCATTAGGTGACACAGGGACTAGTGGAAAAAATGGGATTTTTAGATTATAAGGGCACTAGGTATTGTTGGCATATAACAAGAACAGAAGAACTGGTCTCTAATGGAAGGAGTGTCATGGATGTGAGACACAAAAAGATATGAGGTAGCAGAAAACTAAGTTTTATGCAAATTAAGATAAACAGGCCTGGAAGATGATGAACTCTGCACTGGTATGCTTAACCAAAACCAAAAAAGAAAACAAGGAGTTATGGTAATAGACTCTGGCATACCTTCTAGTTCAAATTCACCTCCCTAAGAGTATGTCTACACAGCAAAGTTATTGTGAAAAAACAGTCCTTATTTCGAAATAACTTTCCTGGCATCTACATAGCCAAACTGCTATTTCAAAATAAATTTGAAACAGCAGAGCGCTTATTTCAAATTTGGTAAACCTCATTCTACGAGGAATAACGCAAAAATCGAAATAGCTATTTTGAAATAAGTTCTGTATAGACACTTATTTCAAAATAGGGGGCTTTCAGCCTTCCTAGGGTGTCCTTGTGATCACTCCAGCCTCAACTAAGAACACTCCTCTCTCTCCCCCACTCACCGGAGCCCTTAAAGGGGTAGACTCAGG